TTTATAATATAAAAGAATATTACGTATTACAAGTGGAGTGGAGAATTCCAAATGATGGTTTATAAGTTTATCACGTCTTCTAAATTCCATCGAGACATTAATGACAATGTATAATTTCAACAATAATACCGTTTCAATTGCACAATGAGGGCGAAAGCAAATACGATAAACAACAAGAGACCAACAACCTTCTCGTTTATCATCGGTATTCCAAAGGAAGTTCGAATTTCGGTGTTTCGAGATCTCTCGTATCGATTAATTGCAATCAACGAGGGGCCGCACGCATTCTACAAAGGGAGAAACTATAGCGCTAAATCAAAATGGCCGACTTACCGTACTGCACCCGAGCATTTCGCGATATCATTGTTCACTTACCTGGCATGTTTCGGGCCAAGACTGGGATCGTACATAGAACTGGCCGATATATCTTCATCGGGGATTTCGCCATTCTCCATGCCCAGTGCCGCGGTACATTGTCCTGAAAGGATTCGAAACGGCGTTAGAGACAGAGAAACTGATATGCTTTGTCAATTTGAAGGGTTTAAACCAGAGAGAGAGAGAGAGAGAGGATTGACTGACCATGCGAAAATGAAACGATGAATAATTGAGAAACGAATGGTAACCTTGCTAATGAATATAATATCATTACGAGAAATATTACATTTTCAAAGTAATTATATTTATTCGATGAAAACGTGTATCTTGGATATTAATGATTCGACAAGATTTAAAATAAATACATTTTTCTCTTTCGATAGGACGATGATTTTTCCATGTGTATTTTTATTAAATACTCGAGTCGATCATTGCGAAATAAATTGATATTTTGGTTATACACGTTTCAATTACGATCTACCACTATAAATTAAGAGAAATATCGTAAATTCTTTTCTATGATGCCAAAATAATTAAACGATTACAAATGAGTAAGATAAAAATTTATCTGGAATTCATTGAGAAATTTTGCACATGAATTTACACAGGAATAAATTTGTTGGAATTTCGAGTTGATTTCCAGAGAATAGAGATCGTGACACGTTGCCACAAAATACACAAACGTGTTCTCGCGATGGTTACAATTCTTCAGCGAGATCCTAGGGGAACAGAAATTGCGACGTCATTGGTATTACGCACGAGGGACTTGAAACTCGACAATCGAACTTCCTTTCTCATCCCCTTACGATCCTTTACTCGTTTACCGTGATAAACAAAACTAAAACGTAACTAAAATAAGCATAATCGATGATATTGTGCATAATTGTTAACGCTTCATTGATGATCCAATCAATAGAAAATGAAGCTTTAGCTTATCTTGAATTGAAACTAGAGAATATAAGAATACTTACAAAAAGAATTATTCTGTTTAAATGTAATATCACTTTATTTAATTGTATTATTAAATTGTATTATTAAATTGTAATATCACTTTCTCGAAACATTTTGTATGCACGATACAAAGTACAATACCAGAAGCAATACGGTACAGCTAGGCGGATAATCAACTGTAATAAATTGTCCAATTCATAGTGACGTAGAATGAAATACGATAGAGTCTACGATACATGTATACATTCGGGCCAGGACACTGCAGTTACGCTCGAAAGTTTCAAAAGTGCAGAATGGACGTAGAAATTGGCTCCCTTCAGATACGTTGCAGGCACTGATTTTCGTCAAATGGTATTTCTTCCAAACGAAACTTTTTTTTATCTTTTGTTTACAAATAATAATTTTGTAACGAAACGATGAGATATTCGTCGTTAGATAAAATTTATATTAAATTTTCTTCTTCCGGTAGTAGTTTTATATATCTCAAAGTTGAAAATTTCTATTCATCTTATATTATTTTTCATACAATTCCATACAAAGAATAATTATACGTTCGTAAATCGAGATTGGTGAATGTATTTCTGGAATAATTATCGTCTCTCGCGTTAAAGTTTTACCGTCGTTCGTATCGAAGTGAAAATCAACAACGGCGAGAAGAAAGCGTTGTTGTCCCGTAGACGACTCAACGAGCGTTGAAGTTGCAAAATGTGGGTCGCTGGAAAGTCTGCAGTTGCGCAAGTTGAGTTGATATTCAACCGACTGCGATTGTCATGCGTACCAGTAATACAGTTAGTTTCTGTACATGTCGGTGACTTGGTATTACTACGATGAAACTTCGCGCTGGCTTCTTACTTCCCCAAATTCTGTGAACTTGCTTGCATCACCGTTCTGTTTTCTATGTATATTGTCCTACACCTACACCTGCCTGTATAGAGAGAACAGAACGGTTTCCACGACTTTATGCACGAATCACGGCCTCGCGTTACACGGTGAACAGGGAACTTGTTTTCGTTAAAACGTACAAGTTTTCCCTCGTTGTGTTAATAATAAACTTTACTTCGTTTCGCCGTAAAAGCCTCGTTTTAAAATCAAAATTTAATTCCCGTATTTCGATCGTGATTATCACGAGGATCAAATTGCGAAAGTTTTGAGAAAGTTTGCAAGATTTTCTCAGAAACGCTTCGTATTTCAATTTATTTAATATTTAATATTTACGTTTAATTTATTCGAATACTATTACAAGTATGCGAATTCATTTAGAAATGCAAAAGTATAAAATATATAAAATGTTCGATATTCGACGAGTATTTATTTTATATTAAGAATCAGAAACGTTTCGTTAATTTAAATAATAATCGTAACAAAACTTTCGAAACATGCTATTATTGTTTGAAGCTGTATATCTTTTTCGATTAATAATTCTAAAATTTCATTCTAAAATATTTGTTGTACGCGAATTTACAAAATTTATCGCCTAGTGTCATCGTTCTGCGTTAAAAAAAGAATTCAAACAATTGATCGAATCCTGGCCAAATCACTTGTTTTTACGTTTAACAATTTATATTTATTTTAACGCAAAACAAAAGAAATAGGAAAATCTAGAACGAACGAGGAACAATGAAATAGTGTCTAGCATGAACACAAGTCTATATCGCGAAGCAGTTAACAGGAGTACGTGATTCATTGAACGAGCTCTGTTCAGGACAATTTCGGGGGGAGAGAGAGATTGTTTGCAGTTGCTCGCGTTCAACAATCATTCCCAAAACACAATCAGAACGAACTCCTTTCGATAAACGCTTAACATCAGGCAGAAACAATAAACCAACAGTTCTCGCTAACGTACCCTGTTAACTTAAAATCCACCTTCGAACTAATAATTGCTTTTACGTTAATTTGAATTCACCTCGGTTGGACCTAGTTCCCCTTAACTATTCACTGTCAGCTACATAGACAAATCCATCGACAAATTGACTATCCTGAAATCCGTTTAAATCCGAAACTTTTTGGCCTGGAAACTTTCAACCCTCCTCCAAAGTCTCCTTTCTCGCTTGCTCGGTTAACGATCACTTGAGAAGAATTAGATTAGATTCAGAGAATCTTTTTTAACAATTTTCGAATATTTTTCTTCAGTTTATTGTATATTTGTGAATCAACGGGATGTTTCGTTCTGTCTTTTCCCTTTTTTTCAATTATCGTGCGACGCGACATATCGAGTTCAAACTAGCAGAACAAAGGCGCCACCTATATCTGTATAACATAGTTTATTCCTACTTTCTTTATTAAATATATTCTGATCAAATTCCAATCAATAGGTTTCACAGCCTATTCGTTTTTCTGCATTATTCGTGAGAAGGATAACTGTATAGATAAGTTTTTCGACCAAACTAATATAACTTTAAAATTTATTCGTATTATACAATGTTTATTGAAATGGAAGTATTGATCGGTTAATGCATCGTTCTATTATGTTTGCAAATTGGATATTTATTAGCGATGTCCAGTGTTGAAAGAAAACTCAATTTGCAAACTAAATAGATTCAGGAAAATTTAATGTATATAAAGAGAAATTCAAGATCGTTAACAGGATCAAACTAGATTCCTTACTAATACCGATCAATTCATAATCCGATCTCGTTCCTTCGAAGGCTACTAATCTCATATTTATAACAGTATTTTAATTATTTTCTCATAACACGTAATGCAAAAAAAGAAAGTATATTGAAATCATCGAATATTACCCAAAATCAGATTCATCAAATCCATATAACATTAATCCCGCCTTCTCGAAATTATGTCAATCAGAGGAAACGTGAAATATTCGTGTTCCTGTACGAGAAAAAAGATTATCATAATTTTTCCTGATGGAAAAAGAAAACTACCACGTCGAATCACGTTCGTAGCTTCGTCCATGGCGCACCTGTGGACAGATAAAATGGCGGGAGAGCACTCTAAATACACGTCGAAAACTCTAAATACACTGGCATAATTGCTCGCCGGAATAAAACATTGACACCCTCGCCATTGTTCCCTCCTCCTCGGTTGCCAATACGCGCACCTTGCCAGATATGCACGGCCTAGTTCTCTTTGCAATTCAATCCTTAGAACTGTCCTGCCTCCGTGCCGCAACTTCGATCGTGCCGCTCTTCAGAGAATGCGCCTCTTTATGCGGCATCCATTACTGGGGCAAACTGCGGCCGAGATGAGCCGTGCCGTAATTATCGAACTCCCGAGAGTTCGTTATGGGGGGGGAGCCGACTGTTTAGTTGCAGGGATACGTCGCGCAGGTGTTCCACGGCCAAAAATTGCACGGAACTTTCGTGCAACCGCTCGAGACGAAAGAGAGAGAGAGAGAGAGAGAATGGTTGGAAACGATCTGTCACTGGCATAAATTCGGGGAGAAGGGGTTGTTCGTTACGACACTCTGACTCCATATAGGTGCGCAAACTTGTTTAAGGGTGGCTCGAGGCGTGTGTATTCATTGTTCTTATGATCCGGATAAGCTTGTATATATACATACATATATATATATATATAAGGGTTGTTTGAAGGCGAACCTCTTGCGCGGAATATCGCTTGATCTATCGGTGGGAGGAGGATAGATCTGGAGGATCTGTCATTCGCAACACGCGTCCCTATTCATTTGTGCGGGAATGGCAGAGGAATACGTTCCTCTCTCTCTCTCTGTCTGGTTTACTGCGTAACCGATTCGAGAATCGGATACGTTTACACGCCTCGAGGATTCCTTTTGAGACCTAACGACCTAAAGGGATTAGGTCCCGTGGATCTGTCGAGTTACGGAGCGGTTTTAATTGGAAAAATGGTACGGTGTGGATAATGGTACGGTTGACGCAACGGATGATCGTTATTCGAAGCGACGTTTGTTTCGTTTTAATAGTTGAATTCCTTTTTTGAGAGTCTGACGTAATTAGGGGGTTCGATCGATGGAGAGATAGACACGGAGAAAGAGAGAGAGAGAGAGAATGGTTTTAATTGGAAGAAATAGATAATAGGTACGGTTGATATGAATGATCGTTATTCGAAGCGACGTTTGTTTCGTTTAATAGTTGAATTTTTTTAGAGAGTCTGAAGCGATTAAGGTTTGCGGATTAATCGATGGAGACGGAATGGCGTTAACGTTACGATGAGAAAGGAGATAGAATACTTTTTTCACTAGATTTTCCAGAGAATCCAAAGAAAATTTCTCGGATAGGATTTATCACAAGTCCCTGTCCAGTCAAATTCGTTAAATTTATTTCGAAAAAAGAAAAATCTGAATAGAGATTCAGGGATAAAATTTATCAGACACAATTGACCTGATTCGCTCGTTTAACTTCTCTCGAAGATACCTTGCTCGACAATTGATAATCTTTCCTCCTCGAAAATTCGAGGAACAACAAGTACCATTTCCCGTTTAAAATACGTAAAATACACCGATCCACGAAAACGTAGCGTGGATAATTAGAGTCCCGTTTGAATGATGGAAGAGGCCTGTTATTCGGCCCGATTCTTAACCGGGCTCCATCGTTGTTCCATCCCTGTTCAACCGTATTAATTAAACAAGCCGTCGAAAAGAGTGCTCGATTCAATAAAAAAAAAAAAATAAATAAATAAATAAATAAATTCAACGCGACGCCCTCTACGAACGATGAAATGAACAAAACAAACTGGTTATCGTTCTCGTTGGAGAGAGAGAAAAAAGAAAAAAAAAGAAGAAAAAAAGAAAAACGCTCATCGATTTGCAATTTGAAAGATCGCGCCCCTCCACGTTATTTTTCTTCCACCCCCCACCGAACACAGCCCATTGACTCATGAATATCACCGAGCCCATCGATCGACCAAACGACCAAAGCATCGCGCTTTCCTTCTATTCCGGCGTTAATTAAACCCACCTTCTGTCCCTCCTTCTTCCTCCGTTCCCTCCTCTTCCCTCCTCACCCTAAAAGAGGGTGGCCAACTATTTTTCTCCGCCTTCGATGCAAATAATCTGGTTAATTGAAATACAATAATCTCTGAAAGAGGGACAAAGGGAAGGTCGTTCTTTTTCCTCGACGCGCGAACAAAAGAGAATGTCGAGGAGAGGAGAGAGGGGAAGGAAGAGTGTCGAGGAAAAGGAACAATAATAACTCGTGGTGGTCGAAAGACTCGAGAAGAACGCGATATATAAGCGGTTTCGGTTCGTGGTAATTAATATGCATAAAAACATAACGACCACTAAGCGATAAGACGACGACGACGACGGCGACGACGACGAGGACGAGGAGGAGGAGGAGGAGGAGGAGGACGAGG